CCTTTTTAATGAAGAATTAAGAAGTTCTCCTTCTGCTCTAAAAGCGTTTGGTGTCTATTAGAATTATCTGTTCTTTAAATATTTGTCAAAAATTTCTGGTAAAATTATCGGATCTGCTGGCTTTCTGTGGGAAATGTGAAACTAAATCTATTTCTTTAAGTTGAGGATATTTGGTTTTTATTTCTTCGTAAAAAGTTTATACTTTTAAAAACTCCATTTTGGCGGCGCGCGGTGGGTCATGCCTGTAATCCCAGCACTTGTGGGAGGGCTGAGGTGGGGTGGATCACGAGTCAAGAGATCAAAACACTGCTGGATAACACATGAAACACCGTCCCTACCTAAATAACAAAAGAAAAAACATGAAATTAGCTGGGATGTGGTGGGCGGGGCCTGTAGTCCAGCTTACTCGGGAGGACCTGAGGCAGGATAATGGCATGAACCCAGGATGGCGAGTTGCGTAAGCCCGATCCACTCGCCTGCATCCAGCCTGTCCGACAGATCGAGCCTCTGTCTCAAAAAAAACAAACAAAAAACTGCTCATTTTACTAGGTTTTTAAATTTATTGGCATAAGTTGTATATTTCTTTATTTTATGTTTAATAAGCTATGGCATTTTAAAGAAGTTTTTTTTTTTTTTGAGACAGGCTTGCTCCTGTTGCCCAGCTGGAGTGCCAGTGGCGCAACAATCTTGGCTCACTGTAACCTCTGCCTTCCAGGTTCAAACGATTCTCCTGCCTCAGCCTCCCAAGTAGCTAGGACTACAGGTGCATGCCACCATGCTGGGCTAATTTTTGCATTTTTAGTAGAAATGGAGTTTCACCATATTAGCCAGGCTGGTCTCAACTCCTGACCTCAAGTGATCCGCCTGCCTTGGCCTCCCAAAGTGCTGGGATTACAGGTGTGAGCCACTGTGCCTGGCCTCTTCTTTTATTTTTAATATTGTGTATATGTGTCTTCTTTTGTTTATCCCTTCATAAATCTTGTCTATAGTTTGTCATTTTATTAGTACTTTCAAGGAAACGACTTTTGACTTGACAAATCTTCTCTGTTACCTTTGTTTTCAATTTCATTATTTTCAGACTCTTATTTTATGATATCCTTCCTTTTAATTTCTTAATATTTTAATTTTTAAATTCTTTAGATTTCTAACTTTTTAAGAAATATGCCTAACTTATTGCCATCTTACTTCTTTCTTAGTAAGCATTTAAAGCTATATATTTTCCTCCAAGTACCTCTTTTTTTAGAGTTTTAAGAGTCTTTGCTACCATTCAGTTCTAGGTATTTTCTGACAATATTTTTTTTAACTCATGGGTTATTTGAAAATATGCTTCTCAATTTCCAAATACATTTTTTTCACGTTATATTTCCAAAACTGACTTCTAACTTAATTTTGTTGAAATCAGAAAGTATGGTATACAATAGCTAGCCTTAAAAATTCTTAAGACTGATTTTTACAGATATTTGTGTTTGAAAAGAATGATAATCTTCTAGGTGTTGGGTAAGTATATACATATTTATTAAATGAATAATAATTATGTTATTCAAGTCTTATATATGTTTATTGGTTTGTCTTTTTGATCTAATAACTATTGAAAGAAATGTTTTAATGGCTCAAACTATTGTGGTGTATTTTTCCAGTCTCATTGAATAATGGTGCTATGAATTTTTCCTATATTTTGAATCCATGTTATTAACTGCATTTAAGTTTAGAATCATTATATTTTCCTAGTAAATAAAATATTCTTGCAATAGGTAATGATCCTCTTCATGTCAATCAAAGCTTTTTGCCCAAATGTCTATTTGTATTATACTAATATAGCTTCATCAGTTTTTATACTTCATCAGTTTCTTTTGATACTTATTTGTCTATCTTTTTAAAGATACGTGCCTATACCTTAAGTATGTTTTTAAAAACGCTTTTATATATTGTTGGTGGGAGTGTAAATGAGTTCAACCACCATGGAAAGCAGTGTGGTGATTCCTCAAAGACCTAAAAACAGAACTACCCATTCGACCCAGCAATCGCATTACTGGGTATATCCCCAAAGGAAGATAAATCATTCTATCATAAAGAAATGCAAATGTATGTTCACTGCAGCACTATTCACATAGCAAAGACATAGAATCAACCTAAATGCCCATCAGTGACAGATTGGATAAAGACAATGTGGTATATATACACCATGGAATGCTATGCAGTCATAAAAAAGAATGAGATCATGTCCTGTGCAGGAACATGGGTGCAGCTGAAGGCCATTATCTTTAGCAAACTAATGCAGGAACAGAAAATCAAGTACCACATGTTCTCACTCATAAGTGAAAGCTAAATGATGAGAGCACATGGACACAAGGGAGGGAACAATATACACTGGGGTCTATTGGAGGGTGAAGGGTGGGAGGAGGGAGAAGATCAGGAAAAATAATTGATGGGTACTAGGCTTAACACCTGGGAGACAAAATAATCTGTACAACAAACCCCCACGACACAAGCTCACCTATAAAACAAACCTGCACATGTACCCCTGAACTTCAAGTAAAAGTTAAAAAAACAACATTTTTCAAAACTTGTTATATATTTAATTCTATCACCCTTTCCTATGCTATTACTGTAATACATTTTGGTTCTAGTTTGATATTTTTAACTCTCACAAATTCAATATTGTTCTTTTAATTTGTATAGTTAATAATTATTTAGATTTATCCACACTTTGCTATTTTCTTTATTCATGACTTCTTGTATCTTAGACCTTACTTCTGCAATCATTTTCTTTCCATTTGAAGTATACTCTAGAATTTTCCCAGTAAGGGTCTGTTGTTAGTAACATCTGTTTGCCTGGAAATGTATTTCACCTTCTTCCTGAAAGACAGTTTCTCTAGGCATTAAATTCCATTTTTTCTCAGCATTCTGAAGATATTATTTCACTGTCTTTTGGTAATCACTGTTGCTATGGAAGTCAGTTGTCATTCTAACTGCCATCCTGTATGGGTTCCCTTTTTCTTTGGAGCTGCTTTCATGATCTTTTTGAATCTAGTGTTCTTACATTTGACTATGACATATCTAGATATGAATTTATATTTTTACTACTTTACTGAGGTGTAATTGACTACAATAAGCTGCACATTTTTAGAGTATACAATTTTGATGTTGCTTGACATATGTATTTACCCATGAAACCATCATTACAATCAAAATAATAAACATACCTATCACATCCAAAAATCTCCTCATGCCCTTTTATAATCTAACTCTCCTCACCATCCTCATGCAATCATTGATCTATTTTGCTTATTTATATTGTGTTTTCAATACTTTTACAACAATGGAATTATAAGGCATGTATTTTTGTCTGAATTCTTTCTCTTAG